TCCAGATAAGTCGTGACCGTGCCAAACTTGTTCTCAGTCAGGGGTGCGGGTGTCTGGAATGTTGCGTCGCATCTCCTCCGCGGGCCAGGCTGTGAGATGGGGCGCAAGCGGGCGAATGTGTCAGGAATCTCGTAACTAGCAAAACCAGCAACACAGTATCCAAGCCTTGGGCGCTTCACAGTTCGAGATGGAGAATTTTCTCCAGGATTGGAGAGCCTCGTCGCAAGCGGTTCAGAAGTGATAACGGACCAGCATGCACGTCGCATGGCTAGCCGAACAGGGGTTAGCAAAAACTGGAGAGGGCTGAAGCCATGGCCAATGCCCATCGCGACGTTCCTGGAAAGTGCTGGGTTGCCACGTGTGGAACGAGGATCGTTCGACCCAGCTGGATGCGAGGTTGGAGAGTGATGCCAGTGGTGGTGGTGGTGGTGGTGGTGGTGGTTGGGGTGGTGGTGAGAAAAAGCTTACTACACACGCACGAAGGATGCTGGGGACGCAGCACCACCAAACAGCAGCCAGGGCACGCAAGCTGACGAAATGCGACCACAAGTGGAACGGCAAGCGACTCGGTCAGAAACTCTCGCTGGTGGCAGGCATTATTTCTCGCTTCATCTGATTGCCTTGAAAGGGCATCGGCGGAAGGGTGGTCTGTGCTGTCCCCCTCCCGCCTCCCTCCAACTGCCTCTTTTCATGGCTTTCATGGGCCGTTTGTTCCGTTTTGGGAGTTTATTCTCTCCCCAAATGACATGCCGATCGAGTCAGTGTCCCCTCGTCGCTCTGCCTTTCCCCGATCGCCCCGCAATTTAGCCCAGGATCTGGAAAGGCCAAAGGCTTCGAAGCTCATTGCACATCTCCCTTCTACTGGTTCGCCACTTCGCTGTTGCTGTTTTTGGCCCTCGGGTACCGCGTATCCTTGCCCCCTTGGTTATATGGGACCCGTAGGTTTCGGCTCAGCTGGATCACAGCCGACTCTCAGAACCTGACCTTCCTGCCATGGTGGCATGATGTTTTTCTTCCTAATCACAGGCCTCATGTTGCAATCTTCATGACGTACAGGGAGAAAAACTGTCTCACGCCAGCTAAAGAGTTAACTGGAAAATTTGACCTGTGGCTGCAGCTTCAGGAAGGTGGCATTACCATGCATCCGACACAGCCTTGAAGTCGCAGGAATTCATGCTCCAAAGTGACATCTTCTCTTCTCGAAGCAACCCGTTATCTGCATTGTCTTCAGAAATCTCTGCCGGGTTCGTTTCTTTTGCGAGACGCAGAGTCATTTGAGTTCAGGTAAACCTGCCACGACAGAAATGGAAAGCTTTAGACTTCATTGAGACAGGCCACAGATTCTGCGCCTCTTTCAATCAGCCCCAATGCAGAGACCTTTTGCGACAACCCTGGCAATACAGGAACCCTTCGAGCTTCATTTTGCTGGCGACAGGATGGATGTATCAAGATCATGTTCGAGGATTTTGTCGACCCTCAGAAAATTGATGAATCAGGAAAATGTACGAGGTACTCGGTAGGCATTGTAACAGAAGAAGCTCTCAGGGGCTGCAAACCAGTCAAAACGTTTCTTGTCGGTATGCATCAATAGCGTCTGGCACTGCACGTCCAAAGCAACGACATCACTCCGAGTCCATTCGACCTCACATACTCTTGACCTAGAATGTGTTATTTTCGTCAACAGCCCCCTAAAAAGCATACACAATCCTGAGGTGAGGACCAAAACTATGTTACGTGGAACGCACTGCCACCGCGTCGGTCATCCGGAAATGGCCGGCCTCATCTCGGAACATCACGATTACCTGTCTCGGTTGCACTACAATCGAGAAGAGCCAATTGGTCTGACGAGCAAAGGCTTCTGAGGCCTTTCAGAAACTTCTTTTAGCTCGAGTATCTTCCCACGAATTGATGGGGCGATGATAAACTCCATTGACAATTCTGTACCGTGGGTTGGACTTTTCCATGCGAGAGGTACTCTGGTTGCGTATGACCGAAGCACGTAACCTCGAACAGCGGGGATGTGTGTTGACATTAGGCTGGTCAAAAAAACCGCATTGATGACGGAGACATGACCCCTCCGCAGAAGAATTGCATGTCACGATCTACATCATCAAGAATTGGTTGATCGACCACTTCGGGATCAAAAGACTTCTGAATCAACTGGCAACTTTGGATTGCTCCTCAAGGAGGATTATCCTTCCTCAACACTTCGAATTTCCATTTTCTCCAGAACTGAGACGTACGGACATGATCATGAAGACCGCTACATTCAAGGTTCCCAACAGCAGAGCCAGACTTGGTCACTGGGAGAGAAATAGCCGAGTGCTGACTAGCGATGGCGACTACCGATACAGGGGGGCTAGAGCGCCAATGCTAAATATGTACATGAACCGAACGGCCCGCCGGGTTCAGGTAAATGGCACCATTCGTTTTATCGCGAGTTTGGGTCCTCGTCCATCATGCCATGCTTTAGCACCTGAGGGTTCTGGGGATTGCCTCTCACAGCGTGGTGGATGGTCTCTTGCAGGAAGAAGCATTTGGTCTTCAGGCCGATTCACCACATCGCCAAACGGCAAACGCGAAGCACCTCAAGGTGAATTAGGGAAAAGCGGCATGAAGTGCATTCAGCCAATTTGGTCACGTCTTCCCTATGTTGTGTTCATGCTTTCGACGACAACCTCTCAAGTGCTATATCTCGTCCGTCTTTGCTGCTAGGTTATGCTCCGCTCGTTGGAGTAATACTTGCACCTTCTCAACCTTTGTACTGTCGATAAATTCAAGGATGTGCTGGATTTTATAGTCTGCTTGATTGAAGGTGAGGACGAAGATGTATTCTCCCTCATAGCTCCAGTCCACCGTCAAGTCCTCATCTTTTGCCTCTTCGCGAAACGTCGCCTTGCTGGTTGCCCAAATGGTGACCAGGTTACCTCCTTCCAATATCGCTTTGGGAGTGACTGGAAGTTCTGAAGTCTTTTTCTTCAAAGACAAGAGGTGCGCTCCTCGTATTTCGTTCGACATGCGCGGAGTGAAGCTCAACGTCGTAGGGACGATAGTATGGACGCAATCAGGGGTCCTCAGAGCAAGATTTGACTCAAGGTCAAGATCTTTGAAGGTGTCCAAAAAAGCAATGGCAATGCTGCGTTGATGGGAAGCCATACTGATCTGCTTGATTCGTATCAAATAAAAAGGCACGACTCATCTGAACACCGAGCTGGCACAATATCTCTGCTGATATACTACGGTAAGTCCGGTTTCGACCTAACTCCGGTGACCACGTCCTGCCATTAAAGGTATCGTTCACCTTTGGCGTCGACTGATAGCCAATTGTATGGGTCTGTAAAAGTGGCTAAAGGGAGTGAGAGAAGAAGAATACATAGTATTTTTGCCCATCTACGCATCACCACAACTCGCAAGGTCTTAGGCTATGTCGGCAAGCTTTCTCATCCCCGCTGAAATGACGGCTGGCACAAAGATGTTTGATCCTCTGCTGCTGATCTATGTGTTATAGCACGAATTGCGTGCCAACCGTTGAAGGGGCTAGCCTTCCTGGCATCGCCTTTTCGATTTCGTACTTGGCTCTCCACCCAGAGCAGTGTCCTGGGATCAAAATGCGAGGATTCAACTCTTTCAACTCTGCAACTGTGTCCTTAATGAATGCCTCATTTGGTCCGACCAGATGGTATCCGCCAATGACTGCAAATAATGGAAGCGTCCCTCCAGCCAGCTGCAAAGCATTCTTAACAACATTTACCACTCCTGCGTGGCTACACCCAGTGAAAACCACGATCCCCTTTCCTATAGCTAACATCAGTGTCGGGCCTGAAAATAAGATGGACCTCGTACCTTTCACATTACACATCAGGAACCTTTCATCCAGAATTAACTCATCGGTGTCCCAGCTGCCGGTCCCCGGGTTGAATCTTATGCCTCGCTGGAAGCCTTTCTCATAAGGAGTAACCCGGGGAATTTCTCCAGAGATAAGAAACATATCTTCGAGGATCGTGTGCGGTTGGTCATTCTTCACAATACTCGCCCCGGCAGACTCGATCTCTTCAAAAGTGGGATCCTTCTCGAGTGAGATCGGACCAGTCGGGCCTAGGAAGCCTCGATATGTCGGCCGATTTGGATGAAGGTCAACCGGAATACCTATTTTTCCTTTTGCTTTGTTGATCATTGATATCGCTTTTAACATGCCCCCAGAATGGTCACGATGCCAGTGGGATAACTGAATCCATTCAACTAAGCCGAGTTTTGCTCTTAAGCGCTTCGCATTCAGTTCCCAGATTTGTTCTTCGGGAGCAGTATCGAAAAGGACCGTATGCCGCTTTCCCTCTCTGACGGCCGTCTAAATAATCATCAGCAGCGATTTCCGAAAAGCAGATTCCTTACAATCATTAGCGACAAGCCATGCGCACCGCAGCAGAGATTGTCGAGGCGAATCTCGAATTTCGAGCCACCCCTAGTTCCGTCTTGTAGTGGAGCTCTCGCAGCGACCTCCGCCAATTGTCCAGAGACTTTTACATCTGGGTGCTGGTACGAGGATATGGGATCAACCTCGTTATCGACAATGACTAAGACCTCTAGCGAGTCGATTTCAACAAGTGAAGCCATGGTCTCACAATCAATTCGAGAAAGATATGGATCTGGGAGGACTGCATTTCTGAGATTCAATTTATCCCGAGGCCACCCGCCCTTCTGAGCGAAGGTAACAGGGCGCTTGGCAAGAGGGGAGTGTAGTTCCTTTGCTTACGGGAACGGGGCGCCGTACTTCTTCGTCATGATACAACTGGTTCTGAGCGAAGCCTGATTCCGTGGGGCTACCCAACAAGATCGTAAGGAGTGTGGCAGTAGTCGCATCGGGCTGGCCACTTCAGGCAGCCAGTCCTCTGCGGCGTCAGCCTCTTAAACATAGTTGGGACTTTCTGGAATGATAATACAATCTCTGTTCTCAGACCTGAAGTTCGACCTTCCCCAACTGTCTTTTTCTGTTAAACCTCAAAATGGCGGAGAAACAGCTCGTAAATCTTCTAGCGTTGTTGTCACCGGCTGATATTGTAACCCCCGAATCTCCAGAATATGAAGAGCAGTCGAGAACATGGGCTGTTCAGGCCAACAAACACCCTCGAGTTGTGGTCACACCGAAAAGCGTGGAAGCGTTGAGCAGAGTAGTTTCATATGCGAACACAACGGATCTCAACATCGGGATTCGTTGTACGGGTATTGGAAATGCTACCAGTACAGATGTGTTAATCTCACTGTCCGCGTTTAAGTCATTCGAGTTCGATCCGCATGAAGAGACCGTCACTTTTGGGTCGGGTCATTGCTGGGGAGAGATTGACCAAAAGCTGGAAGAGAATGCACCAGGATACGCGGCAGTCAGTGCCAGGTGCACTTATGTTGGCGTCGGTGGCTCAATCCTTCATGGCGGACAGAGCTGGCTGAGCTCGGAGTACGGTCTTGCGTGCGATCCAAAAAATCTGCTTGATGTCCAAGTGGTTAAGATGGATGGCAGCGATGTTTGGGCGAGTGAAGAGCCAGAGCTGCTTTGGGCCCTACGCGGCGGAGGTGGAGGGTTCGGAGTGGCTACCGCTTTCAAGATGCGAGTTTACAAATATCCATCTTCGATATTTTGTGGACAGATCGTATATCCCTCAGATGCACTGAAAGATATTGCGCGTGAGACTGCCGCGTTTGCTTCACGATGCAGTGATCCAAAGATGGCATTGCATTTGTATTGCCTCAACATGACAGCAGGAACATATGCGGGCAAGGAACCGAAACCGGGACTGGCTATCTTTGCATACGATGCCAACGGTCCAGAACATGGTCGCAGCAAAGACGGTTTCAAATGGGCACTGGACATCCCCGGAGCCGTTGATTTAACCAAGACCTTGAATTTTCGAGAAGTGAACCAGCAATTTGGTAGGTGTCACTATTCTCACTTAGACATTTTCTAATTAAAGACAGATGCATCAAGAGCGCCATTTGGGAAGATTAATACGTGGGCAGCAGGTGTCACAGTTCCTGTCGTTGATGAAGATTTGATACTTCGAGCTTGGGATTGGTATCTGGCACTTCTGAAGAAGGATCCAAAACTGGTCATGGGTACTTATGTCCTCATGGAAGTGATGCAAAAGGCAAGAACTACTCGACGCGCGACTTCCACGGGCTAATGCCACTAGGCTGTTTATCAATCTCTTAGGTTTCCTAGCCTAGTCTCCGCCTGGCCTCATACAAGAAACCAGCACAATCTTCAATTAGGAACAGGGGTCATACCAGGCTCGGCGGGGAGTGATGATTTAGCATATAAAGCGATGGCAGAGGGGCCGTATGAGATACGTCCCGGTCACACTGGAGCCGACTATTTTCCAAACTTCCTAGAGGATTTTATTGACCCAAAGAAGGTAAGAGCTTATTCATTAGGCTAATATTAGAAGCTTCCGCTAATACTCACTAGGTCTTTAGTATAAATTTCGATAAGCTGGTTAAGACTAAGAAAAGATACGATCCTAACAATAAGCTAGGTGGACCGTTCGCTTAGAAGGGAAATATTTTATAATAAGATAAATTAGCTATACTATACTAAGCTAAAAGAGTAGTAGTAGAGAGAGAGAGAGAGAGAGAGAGAGAGAGAGAGAGAGAGAGAGAGAGAGAGTTATCTAGTTATATATTAAACTAAAATAAACTAGTAGAGTATTAAGAATTATCACTAATTCTAACTAAGTTAGGGTTCTTAGTAATAATCCTAGTATAGTATAAGCTAGCTTATTACGAATTTAGCTAAATGTCGGAATAACGAACGTCTAATATCTTAGATAACGATTAGATATTAAGAATCTCTACTAATTCTAACTAAATTAGAGTTCTTAGTAATAATTCTAGTATAGTATAAGCTAACTAAGGATTACGCACGGTATAAATAGTTCACTATTACTAAGAACTATATAGTTTAGTAGATAATATAGTAAATTAGCTACGGAGAGAGTATAACTATTATAATGAGAGAAGTATAAAGTAGTGAATAGCGTTATAATTAGCTAGGGCGCCGTGTTAAGGATCCCTACTGATCCTAACTAGGTTAGGGTTCTCAGTAATAATCCTAGGATAGCATGAGCTGGTTGAGGAAGACACAAGGTATGAGCAGGGTTCTCTATTACTAAGAACTGTATAGTCCAGTAGATAATATAAGTTGGCTACGGAGAGAGTGTAACTACCTAGGGTAATGAAGGTGTATATATAATGCTTATGCTCTGTGCGCTCTGTGCGCTCTATGCCAACAGAGCTAACAGGGCTAATAGGGCCAGTAGGGTATATCACGTGACCTAGCCTTGTTTCTCCGTGGATCCTTCTAGGTGTCTAATGAACGTGGTGAGTCGCGTCCGTGCAACTCGTGATCGGTCTCTCTCAAGGCTATGTCTAACACTATCCTTCCTCCGGTTAGATTCTTATCCTAAGAATCCGTCTTAGCGATGACATAAAAGCGGGACGCTGCCCAGCTTAAATTCGCCTAAATCTAAAGATATCTTCTTCTCTTTCCTTCTTCTCTTCTCGCCTTTAGCCCGCCGTTCCTAAGCCTCTTTTCCGTGTTCGCGATCGCCCCCTCGAGCGCCTTCGTTAGTCTCGTAATGTTTAGTTCACTGGTTATCGTGCTATAGCACCTTACTCGAATTATAATCGCCCTCGCTCGATCTACGTAATGAAGTATAGGGTCTCCCGCTGTTCCGAATACTTAAAGAAGAATATAAAGTGTAATGGTTAATATTCTAAATTAGAGTACTAGAGTATTGAGCGGAAGAAGTCGGAGTTACGGAATAAGGTGTAGAAGGCTTAGGCTTATATAGCTTAGCGCGCCTAGTAGTATATAGGAGAAATGGCTCGTTTAGCGCAATAATAATTCTTAGAGTTGCTTTAGGAATAGTCCCGTTTAAGTTAGATAAAGCGTTAGCTAGATAAGTTAACGTAAGCTTAAAGTGATATGACGATTCGGGCCTACATGGTGCTCGATCGTCTCGACGAAGAGGAGGGGTATACGCCGGATGAACCTAGGCTGCCGACAGCTCATAAGTTCGCTTTCGACGACGAATAGCTAAACGCTTTACTAGCGTTAGGAACTACTCAGGGTAATCCTTCTTTATTTTCCTTAGAAGTTCCCTCGAAAGGTTGGTCTTCGATTCCTAGCTATTCTCGTACTCATCGTATTCTAATCATTTAATTAGATATTAAGACTAGCCGCGCCTAACGCGTTTTCTAAGGACTTTCTTAATATTATATTTCTCGGGTACTATCTCCTTATTTAGCGAAAGTGTTTAAATAATTTTAGCGTTCCGCGGTGCTGGTTTAAGAAGTACTTTATAAAATATATTATGAATTTTTATATTCTTTAATAATTTTAGTCGATACGTAACGTCCCTAAGTTTAGTTTTAATTTTAAATGGTCTAAGTTTCGTATAGTCTAATTTAGCGCTTAGTCTTTTTATCTTAATATTTTTTTATAAAAGATAGATGGGGTTCCTCTTTTATAGGAGCGATCTCTCGATTCTTCTCTTATTTATATATTATACTATTCTCTCTATGAGAAATCGTAGATCTAATTTAAGTTATTTATAAAGTTTCTTTATAATTAAGGCTATATTTTTAGCTCTTAGGTTTAGGCTTTCGTTTATACCTTTTTTAAGTCGTAAGTGAAACCTATAGTTAGTAAAAAATGAACTTATTTCTATTGTCGACTTATAGTTATTAAAGTAGAATTATATAACTAGTAGTAGTCTTATCTAGTTCGTCTAACTATAATCGACGTATATTCTTAGATATTACTTTACGATTTAGTTCGTTCTCTCTATTTATTCGTCCGTCTAGAGATGAAACGACGTCGATAGTTTATACTTTATTATTAGTAACTTTATTAGTGCTTTTTAGAATTTTAATATAAAGAGTTTATCTCTATCTATGATAATCTCTCTCGGTATTTCGTAGTTAACGAAAACTATTCGTAAGAATTTATATATAAATTTCTTCGCTATTAATTTCTCGAGATATAGTCTAAAGTATAAGAACTTCGTTAGTCTATTATATATCACTAGTATACTATCGTAGATTACTTCCGTGAGGAGCTCTTATAACTTAGGTAACTTTATAATAAAATTAAATATAATGAATATCTAGGCTCCTTTAGAGATTTATAATAGCTTTAATAGTTTATAAGGTCTATATCTTACGTACTTAGTCTACGCACACACTTCGCACTAATTAATGAACTCTTAGATCTCTTATCTTATGTACTTCTAGGGGTCGTAGTGTTGGGTAATGAGCTCGATTATTTTATCGGCTCCTAGGTGTTCTATTAGTGAGTTATTATAGTAATGTTTCATAATCTCTAGGCGTATAATCTTGTTATGTACTTTATCTACGAAGTAGTATTCCGTTATATTAGTTTTTAGATTAAATCGATAGTTATCTCTCTCGGAGATTACTTCCGCTGCTGCGAGCGCTAATTATATATATGTGAGATATTCTCCCTCTTATTATAGTAAAGTTAATGAGATTAGCTTTATATTCTTCATATAGTCTAGTCGTCGACTAAGGACATTCGCTCGGCCGTTTTCTTTTCCCTTAACGTAGTAAATTCTAAAATTATGTATAGTAAGTATTTCTACCTATCGCACTTATCTTCTATTAAGTATCTTAGTCGTATTCTAATATAGAAAGTTCTTATAATCTAAGTAGACTTTCACTAAATATTTAGATCCTTCTAAATATACTCTTTAATGTCTAAATACTTCTACTATTACGAGTAATTTCTTATCGTAAATATCGTAATGGAGCTTTAGTTCTATTATTTTTCGTGAAAAGTAGATAACTAGCCTAATCTTCTCATCTCGTTCTATCTATGTAAGGATCGCAGCGATCGCGCCATCTAATGTATTCGTCTTAAGAAGTGTCTATAGGTCCGGGTCGAAGATCGTGAGGATCGGGGCCTTAGTAAACGCCTTCTTAAAATTCTTAATCGCCTATCTAGTAAGCTCTATTAAAGTAAAGGTCGCGACTCCTTTCTTTATTAGATTTATTAGGGGTGCAGTGATTTACGAATAATTTCGTATGAACTTCCGATAGAAGTTAGCGAATTCTAGAAACGTTTATAGTTTCTTTAGTATAGTTAGCTCTAGTTATTTCAATATATTTTTAACCTTATCGGGGTTTATCTTAAGTTCTTCCCGGGTGACTATATATTTTAAGAATTTAATACTATCTTTATATTAGGGACCTACGCAACGCAGTAGGTACAAAGGAATTAGAGTAGCTAAATACCTTATTCTATTCACGTAGCTCTATTGACAACGACTTAACGCTTAAGAAAAAGAAAGAGTTCTCTCTCAGCCGATTTAGGTGAGAGGAGACTCTTATAGCTTCCCCTCTTTCTATCACGTGAAAAGGGTAAGGTAGCGTTAACCGATAGTCTTGTGCCTCAACCGTCCTTTACCTTATCCTTTTCTTTTCTTTCTATACCGTCCACCCGATTCGGGTGGAGGGCGTAGAGTACTTAGGGACAACGGTGGGTTCGTGATAGTTGCCTTCCCTCTAAAAAGCGGCTCGCCCTCGAGTCGCTGCGAGTATAAAGATAGCCTTAATTCATCGTATGGATAGGCCGTCTCAATTATTAATGACGAAGATAATGATATGGTAGTTGAATAGTCATTCACTAACAATAGTAAGTGATTAAATTCCCACCCGATTTAGGTGAGACAGCCGTTTTATATTGTTATAGCAATGCGGGTGAGGTTTAATTCACTTCAGCCTTTACTTTAGTTCTTGAGCCCTTTGCTATGACCTTCTTCGTCTCTTTCTTTCTCGTTTAGATTAACCACAAGATATATAAGTATTACCCACCTCACTCGGGTAAGAGACGCTGCTAATATATATATAGCCTCTTACGTACGAGGAAGTCCGGCTAAACACTTAGTCTTAGTTAGGCTATAGTGTTAGCCTTATTAGTAAGAATTATAAGTTCTACAATATTAGAACAATAACAGCGTACTAACGAAAGAAGCGCTTTCCGCGGTTTTATGGATTCTCCGTCTACTCCTAGCTCGGAGTTAGTTTTTTCTGCCTTACTCTACGACTAAACTTAGTTTAAGTCGTGTGGATTTTACTCTCGTTCCCGGCCTAGCGCTAGCTGCGTTGCCGTAAGTGAGAATTTAGCTAAGGTTAATAATATGCTAAATAAATTAGGTCCCCGTTAACTTATAGATAGGTTATCGTGCCCTCTAAGCTCTCATCGAGAGAGTAATTTTCGTTACTAGTAGTAGTTTAACTATTTTAGCCGATTAGATATAGATATTTCTCACCCGATTCGGATGATGAATCACTAATATCTATTTTAGGGAATAACTTAAGTCCTAAGTATAGA